TGGAAGCATTAAGGATTTACAGCATCATGTTTAGCTGATACTTTTGTCCAAGACAGCGTCAAGAAGCTACAGTTACATATTTTAATTTTGCGTATGATGTTTCTGGCATCTGTTTATTCTGTGTGCAGTTCTGTGTGCTGGAGCACTCTGGGCAAAGTGCTTTGTTTGAGATTACAACCCCACCTGAGGCTCGAACCCGTGATCGCAAGTCCAGAGCCCTAACCACTCTTCCACATGGAATGCCCCTCCTGCAACACGGCCCTGTCACTTTAAATTGCTCAGGCAGCCCTGGGGATTACACATCCATGACTGCTTAAAATGATTATTTTTAGTCTCACTTGATCTAAAACATCATAGCGTTACCCTGGGTTGCACCAGCTGGTAATAACGCTGCAGAAATCCCTCACAGTCCGCAGATCAACCCAAGCTGATCTGCCTTTGACATGGAAAGAGAAGCACGAATAGTGAGTTATACACAGAAGATGTCCTGTCGACGCTGAATGACTAAGGCTCCCAAAAATGTCCTTTCCAGTAGCTCCTCAGAAATGTAAGGTTTCAAGTGGCAACCATGCCTTGTTTTACTAGAGTTCGGAGATACCGAGGACTGAGTGTAAATGAAGAAAAACACCAGTGTTGTCATGGATTTGTTTAATTGAGGCATTTCAATGCGTCACACGAGACAAAAGTACTGTATGACTAATGTAAATTTCTGTAACAAGAAGTTGTTACTAAGGAGCTCACCGCAGTAGTAAACCCAGGCAGCGCTGTGTTTTGGGGCCCAGGGGGACAACAGTTTTTTTGGGGGGAAACAGATTATTTCAAACAGAAAACCTCATTGGTAAACATCTATCACTGAGTGAAGATACACAAAGCCCACTCCTAATCCCCTCCTGTACATTAGGCATGTACAATGTCCCTTGTTTGCTTTGTTTTCTAACCTTGAGGCATCATTTTCTCTTATGCAGCAAGAACTGTGCTCTAACCCATGCGGTGCGAAACACAAAGTCCTTCAAGAGACAAACCTCTCCCCTTTGTCCTCCTGGCGGATGGTGTGTGATTCCTGCTGTGGAGTCAGGGGGCGTGATGCCCGTACCTGGGGCTGCAGGTCAGGGTGGAATGAAGGATTACGCAGGTGAGGCTGGGTGTGACCAAGCAGCTTGTCTGCTCAGCTGCCTGGCACTAATCCCGGCAGGATCCTGGACTGTGCAATAGGTGACTCCATAAACTGGAAACCCAGCCCTTTGCCAGTGCGTCCACAGATGCCGAGATTCGCTCACTGCAATGCCCCGATAACGAGATCCACCACAGCCAAACAACTTTTGGCTCCTTGCCTGAGACCTTAAAATAAACAACTCGAACGTCCCTAATTCTCCTCCAAACCCTGGAAGTCACCAGAAGCCTCAAAGCTCACCACTGTGTTCCCTTCCTCATGGTCACCTGTTTCTCTGGTTGCAGATTTTCCCCTGGCAAAACTCCCATCTGGTCAAGTGACTTTCGAGTCACCTCTTACATAAGACATACAGTATTTGTTTTTACTTTAAGCTGAATGAACATGCTGGCAGTTTCCATGAAGTCAACAGTGTCGGGCAGTGCTTCTCAGTCTTGGTCCTGGATGACTCCAGCTAAATGCTACCTGTAACTGATCTGCTTGCTGTTTTAGTCTTTTTTGGTGGACTCAGATTGTGCTTTTAAAGGTCCCCCAGTTAAACTGCTTTATTTCCAACAACTGCCGCACACAGGACTGTCTGCAGTCTCTCCTCAACTTGCCAATTAAGAATTTGCTCCCTTATTTCTGACTGAACAGCCCTGCATGGGTGATCGACTGACGCCGAACAGACGCATGTGGGACTGGCTATGTATCGGACAGCGAGTCATTCGGCAAGTGGATTTCCTCTGCCCTAGTCCAGTTGGTCATACAGTATTTCACCAAGCACGCCCGAATGAAAGCAGTCCGGCAACTCATTAATTTAGCACAGGGTTCGTACCTACTGTATTCTAATTCTCATTCAGCTTTCTGAGAGCTGAAAGCAACTTCTGCATAAAATACCTGAAACAGAAAATTGACATAAATTATCAATTGAATGATAATTTCAGCTCTGCTGGGACGATGACCAGTGGACACAGAGGTGACCCAGGGCCAGGACTGAGGACCACTGGAACGTAGTATTTTTTAAACCAGGGCCTGGGAGCCGTACAAAAGCCTGAACAAGCAAGCAAATCAATTACTGGTCCGCAGTAAGCACTGGGGATCAGGGCCCAGCTGGAACAAAAGCCAGCAGTCACTGGGATGCTCCAGGACCAGGACAGAGAACCAGTGGCAAAATTAATCAGGGGAGCAAAGCGAAAAATCTGCACAGAAATCAAAACCACAGAGGGTGTCAGCACGCAGACCTCTTGGTTGATGTAAATACCTGGATTGTGTGGAATTGACTTCCAACAACACTATTTGTGTCCAGCAAGCAGAAGGCTCAGCAACACAGTCTCTACTGGACATGCCAGCAGCCTCAGTTTAAGGCCATACGATGTCGTCTCTTGTCCTGTTCTTGCTCTGAAGTGTGCATGCAAGGGTGCTCATTTAGAACTGTTGTCTCGGTTTATTTCTTGAAGCTTGTTGAGAATGTTATTCTCTGTTTTACAAGTACAACGACAATATCATCATCATAAAAGTCAGTAAAAGGAGTTTCGTGCTATTTGAGAAGGGTATGAGAACATTCTGTAGTCAGAACAGCTCGGCTCATATGCAGTGTCTGGACTTGAGAGAAATTGATTAAGAAATACTAGACGGGTATCGGAAAATCATTGACGTTCCCTTCACCATGTACAAGTGCTGTGCAACATTTTGTAAATGGCTTTTAAATTGGATGCAGTATTTAGCATTGGCCTTTTATTTAGAGTTTTTTAATGATTTGTTGTAGTTTTTCAGCTCTCAGGTGCCTTTCCTCTGGAGATTACCTGAGCTCTCTGTAAAAAAAACAAAACAAAGATTCAGCAAAATTCTGGGAGGATGACACAAATACAACTTGTAAATGCATATACTCCAGATATCCTAATACTGCACATACATCACGTACTTTTGCTGAGGGTGGCATAGTGGGTACCATTGCTACCCCACAGTGCTGGGGCCCCGAGTTCAATTCCAGACCTGGGGTGCTGGAATTTGTACAGTATGTGTTATTTGTGTGGAGCTTGTATGTTCTCCCTGTGCTTGTGTGGGCTTCCTCCAGGTACTCCAGTTTTCTCCCACAGTCCAAAGAAAGAAAATTGGCCCTGGTGTAAGTGTGCATGTTTGTATTTGTGTGTGCCCTACGATGAACTGGTGTCCTGTCCAGGGTGTACCCTGCCTTGTGCCTCTTGGTTTCTGGGATAGGCTCTGGCTCCCCAGTGACCCTATATTGGAAGAAGTGTTAAGAAAATGGATTCAAGGATAAACTTGCTGTTTATATTACCGATTTTATAGAAAACAATCCCTACTTGTGGTGCAACTAGTCTGCTGTTCCCAATTCACAAGAAGGCAGCCTTAACAATTGTCGACTGCAAACCCCGTTCAACACTAGTGGTACACTTAAGTGTGTTCACGCCCATCTTGCGCTGTTGCGATGATAAATGTGGGAGTGCGCACTGCTGATGTGCTCAGAATGGAAGACGCTGCGTGGCCGAGAGGAGCAGAGTCAGCGGGAGAGTGTGAGTGATCCAGCAGCCTATCCCAGAATATCCAGGTCAGCTGGTCTCCCAGGGTGACGGAGCTTATAGAATAGCCAGCGCCATGTGATTGTGTGAGTGAGGCTGCGTCAGCAGTGTGGCGTGCATGCCCTTTGTACCGCTCGCTATGCACAGAGGCATGTAACTAAAGGTCAAGAGAGGGAGCATGAGGCTCAGTTAGGGAGAACGCTGGACATTCATGTCCTCCTCCCAGCAGGCAATACTGTAGCAGGCCAAAAGGCCATTTTAAACAGCAGTAGAACCTGATCTATATGTTTCTACTGGGCCCTAAATTAATTAACGACAGTGCATTTACAGTATATAGCCATTCTCATCCAAAAGGACCCAAAAGTGACACTGAAGTGCAGAACCCAAATGGGAAACGTGAGACAGACATTATGAACCACCTGCCCCACCACAGCAGATCAGATAGAAAAGAGAGAAACTGCTGTACCCGCAAAGCTAAGGGAAAACTGGACCTGACACACAGATTCTAGCCAGGACACTGCGGTTGTCATTGTCATTCTTAGGAACGCTGCCATGGGATCTTTAACAACCACACAATCAGTCTAGAGTCTCTTCAGAAGGACAGCTCCTGCTACAACACAATTTCCCCGGCCACCAGAATGAGGCATTCGTTTTTGGAAATGGTGATGTAAGGTATCGCTGCCTCACAGCACCGGGGCCCTGGGTTCCATCCCAGACCTGGTGTGCTGTCTGCTCGAAGTTTGTATCTTCTCCCCGTGTTTGCGTGAGTTACCTCTGGGAAATGCCGATTTCCTCCCACAGTCCAAAGACATGCTGGTATGTTAATTGATTCTAGTGTGAGTGTGAGCACGTCTGTGTCAGTGTGTGCCCTGCAATGGTCTGGCATCCAGCCAAGGGAGTACCCCCGCCTTGAGCCCGTTGCTTGCTGGGATAGGGAGAAAATGCATGGATGACCTAAAGTGAAGACTGCCCCCTACTGGTGCACCACCACAACAGCAGTCTCCCAGTGCAGAGCAGGCCCAACTTCCTGTGAGCTGTCGAGCAGGCTAGAACATAGAAATGCTGCAGCAGTGCATCTCTGCATCTTTTTTCTGGCTAAATAAATGTAAGAGATTTCCTTGCTTCATCATTCCCAGACTGAAAAGGCCTGTCCATCTCGGGAGAACGTTTATTTTCTTAATAAATGAAATAGATCCATGCCAATGGACTGTCATCCCTATCAAGGGTGTATCCTGGCTTGTCCCCATTGCTTGCTGGGATAGACTCTGATTCCCTTGTGACTTTTTCTAACAACCTGCCTGTTTTCATAACAGGACCAGCCTGATGTTTTGAAGCCTGCCATCTGAAAAAGCCCAGAGCTGCAGCGCCCTGTTGTATCGGAGCAAACAGTCAGGAATTCCTCCGGATTGCAGCAGACGAAGGCAATAACTCAGCAATGCGCTCGCAGGCCCGGACAGCTCCCGCCCGCGGCAGCCCTGCTATTCCAGCCATTCCGTGCAGATCCTGACACCTGCGCTCTGCCGCTGTCTGCCTGCTCCTGTTTTTGTACGGTATGCTGTGTACTAATGTGCACCCCTCTGCCATTTTCCTCTTGAGACACCGACGCAAAAATCACAAAACCCATTAATATCTAGGAAGCCTGAGTCTCCTTGGAATTGCCCTGGCCTATATTCGTCTAGAGTCCCCAGGCCACTGCACTACACCTTTTAGAGTGGCGTTTGAGTCTTTCTGGACGTGACGTTCTTCGCACTGACCCGGCAGACCTAGGGATCCCATTTTGTGTCTGAGATGGAAGCAGATGGGAAATGGCAGAGCAGCTGGTCTGCTGCAAGTCCGGGCTAGTTGGAACTGGTACATGCTCTGAGGCACATTTCTAAGTGAGTCCACATTTAGGAAACCGTACTGGAACATCACACCACGCGGTGCTAAAATTCCAGTCACAATGTCATAATCGTAGATGTGATTGGCGCCTTCGGGCCTGAGCTCAGAGTCTTTCCTTTCATGTAGTTTAATGGCTTGTTTGCTATGGTTTCTGACCAGCTGTTTGTCACAATGTTGAGAGTATTTTAGAGGAGCCGAAACCTTGCACTGGAATGCACTGTGTTAACCTTTCTACTTTGCAAGATTAGAACTATTATTATAAAGCAGGAATTGGTTGGACTTCTTAGTTTTGCTCAACTCAACAAAATAGCATAAGTTCAGATGGCAAGATCAAGACAAACATAATAAATATTGCAGAACAATCTATAATTTGGCTAAATAATGCATTGCATACTACATGACTTTAATCACACGAACATAAGAAAGGTTACAAAGGAAAAGGAGCCATTCAGCCCAGCTGACTCATATGGTAATTAGTACTGTTGCTAATTGATCCATTGATCTCATGAGTTTGATCCATTGATCCAGCCGCTTCTTGAAATAGGCCAGGATATCAGCTTCAACAACATATTGTAGCTGGGTATCTTGTTCCAGGCTCCCACTACCCTTTGGGTAAAGATATGCTTCCTGGTTTCAGTTTTAAATGTCCTTTCATGTCTTTTCCACATTTATCCACCTGGTTTGTGTTTCAGTTCATTCTGCTGAAATGTACTTGGTTGACTTTGTTGAAGTGTTAGACACTTTTCACACAACACGCCTTGATTTAAAAATCCAAGGCATATGACGAAATATGCAGAGTTACAAAGTTCATGTGCAATGATTGCAGATTCTTAGTATCTTAGTACTGCTTTCAACATAATTTGCTGGATTGTACTGAGTCAACAGAGATAAAACTTGAAACCAACCTGCTATCTCCTCTGTGGACATTATTGACCCCTCTTTCTACAGATGGACACAGGTGTTTCCCAACACACAAAGCTCTTGGTGTCCCATGGGCCTCAGTTCTGCGTGAAAAACAGGCTTCGCTGTTCCAAGAAGCATGTCTTAGGTACCATATTGCAAAACCCCCAAAAAGACGGCCCTCAGAGAACACCATGCTGTCTGGTGGTGTAGTAGTGGGGCTCCATGCAGTCAAAGCCAGACTGCAATCTGCACTCACTTTTTCTGGCCTGGGTGTCACCCTTTAAGAAAGACTTGATTTTAGCTTTCTCCTTCCTACTCACCTGAAAGAACGAGGTGTAGCTCTGGACAAGGTTTTATATCTGCAAACGTTTTACTGGTTGCTTTCCGAAACCCTGAGTGCAGAAAGCCTGTATTTTTTTAAACCCCGAAAGAGGCTCACATGTGGTGAGGGCGTCGTGCTGGGGTTTGTTGTCCACTGTCAGGAAAAGTGAGCTTGGTGAGCTCACGTTTGCCTCCTAAAATACGCTGTTAGTCTATTTTAGCAGCATCCTTTAGGGAGTCTCTGACTGCACACCAGCAGAACTGAACACATCATTACCCAGCTTGGAGTGGGGGGGGATTCTGACACACTTCACTGGAGAGATGATTTATCCTTGCAAAGGAGACTTTGTGTTCTTCAGGAGCACAAGAACTCCTCCCGGAACTGGAACATATGGGACTACAGTGCAGGAAAGCTTTGTGGTTATTCTAAGTAAAGGTGTGACAGATCCCCCCTAGCCTGCTTATGACACCCTCCTTCCTGGTTCTCTCCCTTAGTAACACACCCCACCCACACACACAGAACAACCAACACACTGCTACACACCCCTCTCAACACAGAGAAACACACACTCCAACAAACTCCTATCCCACAAACACACAACTCCCATACACACACCCCCATCACACACAGAAACGCACAGCCCCATAACACACAGAAACACACACCCCGACACACCCTCATCACACACAAAAACACATATTCCCCCACACACACCTTCATCACATATGGAAACACCCCACAGACACACCCCCATCAATCTCAGAAACACACAGTCCCATAACACACAAAAACACACACTCCCACACACCCTCATCACACACAGCCCCCAAACAAAGAATCACACACCCCCACACTCCCCAACAGACACATATCCCCACACCCCCAACTCATACCATCCATAAACATAGAAACACATAGAAATACACACAACCCCCAAACACAGAATCACACCTTCAACACACACACACACCCACACAGTTCCCCTCCCCACAGAAACACCCCCCCCCACATCCCCCAATTCAGACACACACCACACACAGAAACATCTCATGCACACACTCAGAAAGACACACAGAGAAACAAACGTTGCCCTCTTTTACAGTCACTAAGCTAGCCTTGGATAACGTGAACTGGGATGTTTCAAAAGGCCACATTGAAGTTGCTTCAGAGAGCAGCTGATAACAAAGTCCCTGGTAGGCAGACAGTACAGTTTGAAGGCTTTTCTTTTTGGTTGTTGTTTTATTTTTACAGATAATTCTGTCTCCTTGTATGGGGAGACAGACCTTTCTAGTTTCACCTCAGACTAATGAACCACAGTGCTGTCTCGCGTGCCGCTTTTTGAAAAGTCTGGAGACCATGGTTTTTTAACCAGAGGGCATTTTTCTAAGCAGGATGTACCTCTTCGTTTATTGTTATAAAAGCCCCAGGTCTTAAAGTCTTTCCAGTGAACAGCTGCAGCTTCCACTACGTACTGCTCAGTGCAGGACAGCTCTGGACTGGAAAAACAAACTAATAAGAATAAAAATCAGTAAAACAAGGAGCTACCCTTGTAGCTAAAAGGGAGCTTTAACAGGATAACCAATCACAATAACCCTCACTCAAATGGAAATTAGGAGATTAAAGACAGAGCAAGGCCAGGCAGCGAGTCTGACTGTGCTCACTTTCTACAGTAAACACTCCTCAAAAACATCTTTCATCTGAGCTCAAAAACAGCCACAATTCTCAACCACTAAGCCCGTCAGCCTGTGATAAAATTACTGTGGGCCCAACGAGAGCTGCGTGCACTTGTCTTCAGATCGGAGACTTCCTGTACTCAGAAGCCCACAAATTTCAATTCTTGTGTCACTCAGGAGTCAGTTGGTTTCCTAAGGGCTTGAAAAAAAAAAAACAAGGAAATTCCAGTGCCGTGGATGTAGGAACATTGTGTAAGACAGAATTATGAAAGCGCTGAGGCTGCATATTCAAACCATGTGTACGCAGGCAGTGGCTGTAATGATCTGAGCTGGAGGGGGCTGTTCGGAGCTGGGAGGCTGGGTGTTGGTTGGCTCTGCTGTTTATTGTCGGGAGTGGCATTCCAGCCCCACTGCTCGGAGGTGAAGAGCTGCCTGCCTGTCAGAGAAAAGAGGATGATGGGTCTGAAATGGCAGGGTGCCTGCAGTTCATCGAACAGAATGCTCCTGTCAATCCTTTTTAACCCCTCACGCCGCAGGCCATGTAACACATTCTGGATAGACAAGCCCGGGAGAATCTCAACTATTACGTGAGACAAGACGCGGTTTTCAGCCGCTGACGTGATTCTTTCTCTCCATTGTTCTCTCTTTCTAAATGATGGTGACACCCCCTCCTCCCCCACCCTTGTACACAGACGCGCGCACACTACCGCTGAGTTCAGACCGTGGACTTTTTACAGTAATGCCAAGCGGTAAGAAAGCCGAAAGCTCCTTCACAACAAGAACAAAACAGTCCCTATCCACACCCCCTTACCCCTGTCTCACTGGCTCCACTCTCCCCTTATTTCATTAGGCCTGCTGGCCAAGATGTCACTTCTGGAGCAGGAGACACAAGGGGAGGTTTAGCCAAAGTGGCACAGTAAAACCTAATGTAGATTCTAATGCTGGTGTGCAGACCACCCGAGAAATACTGAATCACATATTTTATTTATGTGTGCTGGTTTCTGTTTATATGTAGAGCACTGTAAGGAACAAATCCATCAAAGGCTGCTTTTGCACTGCCCCACAGCTTCTTCTCCTCGACAGCCGAAGGCATAGATATGCATATAGAAAGATATCAACACACATACAGACAAGATAAACACATTTATAAAACACACAGAGCGCTACAGTATATGGACAAACACAAGTACCTTGCCTGCACAATCGCGCATGCTTGCACACAATGACAGACAAACCTTCATACACACATGCAGCACACAGCATTGAGCACACACAACCAAACAAGAGGAGCACCTCCTCACAAACCTGAAGCCCAATAGTGCACCCAGAACTACAGTGTTGAGTGTCAGTGCAGGGACTCTACAAACTAATACAACAGCGAATTATTCTGCTGAATCACTCCTCACCTCAGCCTCAGCCTACTGCTTGTCTGCACACTCTGAGGATAAATGACCCCTTAATGAAGTATTTTGAATTGAATTGAACCCAAAGTACTGTAGGTACTGGATTAGTCAAACAAACGCATCCAGTTTACAGAACGTGGAGTGCAAACGTCTGCCATCTACTACTGTTTTGTTGTTGTTGTGTTTTGTGTCGTTTTTGTTTGCACATTTTGAATCAATAGTTTTGTTTTCTTCCCTCATCACTTTTTTTCCAGCCGCATTTTGTAGGGCCATTTGACAGTTTAAAGTCGGCTCTCCGTGACCTTTTTCAGCCCTGTTTTCCATTTTAATAGCAGTGAGCGCAGACAAGGAACACGGGCAGCTATAAAAGCCCCCAAATGATGTTCTGCCTTCAGTCCCAGAGGATCGAAAGCTGGTGAGTATTTAGTATTTAGCGCACAGCCCCCTGAAGTGCTCACGTTTCTTACACAATCTCCAGTGTCTTTTTTAAATCAGTCAGAACTCTGAGAATGCATAAAGCCGAAGTGATCGGTCTCTAAGCAGTAAGTTATAGTCTATTCCCAAAGAGTCTGAGACAGACCTTTACTGCTCATAAACCTTTGTTTCTGTGAGACAAACAACAGGGACGTGTAATATAGCTATGGTTAACATTATCACGGTAGTAAAAGATGAAAAACATCTGGGTGCTTTCGTGGGACCTAGTACAAAATCAGGACAGAGTTTAATCTGGACTAATAGTTTCTTGTTGCTGTGATAAAAAACATATGAATCAAATATTCAAAGAATACCCTTTTTTAACCTCTGCTTTTGAAATTAAACCAACTTTACAAGTGCACTTAATTAAGATTACCACAAGGGGGAGCTGGAGGATCTCCAAAGACAAGGCAGACCCCTAACCAGCAATTCCCAAATACCTAAGTAACGTGCAATATCTATCTTCCCGCACAAATAAACCCTTCTTGATTTAGTAAATCTGATGAGTATCATTTTTAAATTAAAACAATGCTATGTGGAGCTTAACTGTGTTCTTTATGTTAGCTTGCATATACTTCAGATTGTGAAATCTCACCTTTACACATGACTTTGGTAAGACTTCTGTAAGTGCAGGTTTTTAATTCAAGAGGTCAGGGCCCTGCGCTACTAAAGGGCTCTCTGTGACTGAGCAGAAGGCTCTCCGGTGTTCCAGAGCTTTCCATCAGGTGCTGTACCAGGTGACAGCATGTAGAAGAGAGCTAGAGAAAGTCTCCCTTGTCCAGGCCATCAGGAGGGGGAGGGAGGAAGGTGTGGGGGGGGGGAGGGGAGGCATCTAATCTCATTATTTCCTTCCAGCTAATCCCTGGCAAATGGAAGCAAGTGTCGGCTCCGTTGTCTCATTCCTGCAGGGCCCACAGAGCCACGGACAAGATCGCACCAGCCCGTCCAGGATGGACCAGACCATGCTGCTCAACGTTGAAGGAGTGAAGAAGACTATTCTACACGGAGGATCCTCCGAGCTGCCCAAATTCATCACTGGGACAAAGGTACCGTTCTGGTTCTCTCATTAAAGAAACATCTTCTGAAACATCCAGAACTGGCTAGAGCAGGAACACATCTCACCAGATCCTAGGTCCTCCATAGCAGCTCTATGTACAGTACAGTAGCCACACAATCCAGACATTGATATCTGGGATCAAAAGCAATACATCATATGATTTCAATATCTGTTGTGGAATCTGTGTCTGTTGTGGAATCTGATTTTATTTTTTTAATTTGCTTCCGAGTTTATTTTATCAGGTTGTCAGTAGTAGTGGGCACCAGCTGATTTTTTGTGTGACCTATTTTCATTTTACAGTAAAAAAAAGAAGAATGTTCATCCCCTGCGCTGAACTTTTTGCACAGGGATCACATAAAAAAACTGCAGATCAGTCTTTTATTTGTTATACTTTCTTTTGCAACGGTTTGCTACAGAGAAAATAACAGAATTATACAGCTTTTCCACAGCAACAGTATGCCATGTGGGCAGAGAGAGGAGAAGAAAACACAAAGTATCACTGGGAGAAAGGAAACCTCTGGGGGGTCAGGGACCACTGGTTGCCCCACTCCAGCCAATGAGTCTGTTGTACAATAATAATCAATCACGAATCTCTTGTAATGACCAGGCCATAACTACTCCAGACAAATCCATATTTCAGATTGCTTACCTGTTATATCACTCCATAAATGTTTCCAAAGAACATTGTAATTGACGAAGAATCTCTGCAACATCAAACCTGGGATCCTGCTGTCCTGGGTCTGTCGTCAGTGTTTTCTGAAATACAGTGAAAAGACAAGTGCGCTAGTCAGAAAAAGAAAGGTGTAGATGCACCTGAAGTCAATGAAAAGCATATCTATCTCTCAAAAGCACCATATTTTTTGTCCCCTAAATACATGTTCTGAATGCAAGACTAAGCTTAAATGTGTGGAAAACACTACGAATCTGGTGCCATGGGAATGAGATCCATTTCCATGGAAAATGTGATAGGCTATGAAATAAGCTTTTTTGTGACATTTATTTTACTTAAGCAGAGGTCCTCTGTTGAATTCCTTAGTGGCCAGCTTTCTCACTTTTTTGTAAAAAGAGGTTCAATGGTTCATTGCTCAGTCAGGGGTTCACAGTTCATCCAGTGTGCCTCTCCATTGCCTTGTTGTAGGTGACCTTCCATTTCCGAACCCTGCTGTGTGACGATGACCGGACAGTGCTGGACGACAGTAAGAAGGTGGGGGTGCCCATGGAGATAGTGATTGGGAACATGTTCAAGCTGGAAATCTGGGAGACCCTCATTACCTCCATGAGGACAGAGGAAGTGGCTGAGTTCTGGTGTGACGTCATTGTGAGTAGCCCCCACTGGCCTCTCTTGAACAAGTCCTGGGTACAACGTGTCTCCTACCGATTGTCTACTACCGCCTGTTGAAGAAAAAAGGACACAGTCATGTCATGATCTCTGATCCTTGAAGACTTGCTGTTCTGGACTCTGCATCTACCATAGGATTAGATATGACAAATTTAAAATGATTCTAAAGATGAGGGAAAAATGTTTCAAACTCCGTGGTTCTTGGAGAACATGATACAACAAAGAAGAAGTATTATGCACTTGAATACAGGGATGTATGTGTGTGACAGTGTAGAATGTAAATCTACTACATTATTGACAATTTATGTCATTTTCCACTTAGGAGCAAACAGTAAGGCCGTTTGTGTGTTAACTTCCAATCTCATATGCGATACTGTTTAATAATTGCAATATTAGTTTCTCTTAGAAGAGAGCTGCTGCTTTTCTTTTGTATTACAGTTCTGCACTGACACTTATTAGATCAGCGGGCCAGGAAATTTCTAATAGTTTTAATGGATTTTTAACAAAATAGTCAATACTTCAGAGCACACGTGCTGCAACTAAAGTAACACCATTCTACCAGTTTGTCTTCCAGACTGTGATTAGTATACTGAACATTACAGTACATAAGACAAACATCTGACACTCAGGCGTAGAACCACAGCATTTTAGCAAAATGCCACATTTTGTGCCTTCAGGACCATGTAGAAAAGGACTTTTAATAAAAGTATTACTAAATATTGAAGCTAGCCTTTGTTAGTGCGAAGCTATGCTTCTTTAATTTATGGGCTCCCCCAGTCACAGAACATCGGTTTGCTTTAGCAATTACACCCATCAAGATGAGATTCCTTATGTCAGTTCAGGAATCTCATGCCTTTTATCAGTTTGGTTTTTCCCTTGAGGGAAATCATAGCATTTTTCTACTATCTCAAAGAAAAAGATCCTTTAATGTTTGGGTGATTTGTTTTTTTTTTTGGGGGGGGGGGCTTTAGATGCAGATTTCTAACTATTCAATTGAAGTGTTTCTATTTATCACAAGCATTTCCTATTTAAACAAACACCACAAGAGAGGTGTGGGTTTTTTTCACTTGTGTCCTGCAGCTCAACACTCGGGTTCTTCTTAAACTCTGGAACATAGGTGCACTTCTATGCCCCAGAGCACAAAGAGTTAAAGCTTTGTGTGGCGCAGTTTTAATCTGAAGCAATCACACCTGTTTAAATCGCCTGCCATTAGTGCTGTGTCATCAACTCCCTCACTTAACAAGATTAGAGGCAGGAGGTTTAAACAGGCTCTTGAGGCCAATGTGAATACATTTCACATGGGAGCACAGATAGTCCGGCAACTGACAGGATTTGAAACATATATTCCCAGGATATGATTTGCCTTTTGCAGTTAGGCGTAAGGGCCCTGATGTCCTCGAGGCAGTTACCTTTGGGTTGTGAAACTATAGTGAGCTCATCTAAGCAGTGTAAAAACAAATGCATGAATGCATGAGCTTCAGAGGTGCTCCTGTATTTCTCAGCAGTGTATCCTGACATGAGACGGCATTTTGCTGTCCATAACAGATTAATTTTTATTTGAAAAAGGGACAGATTCACACCCTTTTCTTTTTGCTTCCTACAAAAATTCCCCTCTTGGAGGAGGAGAAAGGCGTCTCTCCCAGGTTTGTCCCCCGCCTTTCTTCTCCTCCTCAGATTAATCACTAGAGTGGATTAATATCCGTTGGCAATGAGGGAAACTGTGGGCACCACTCCCTACAGCAGGACAGGCTGGATCTGGCTTGGTACATGGTGACAGGCTGTATTTCTGTGGGCTACAGTGCCTCTTGTCTCCTGTCCCCCCCAGCACACAGGTCTGTACCCCATTGTTGCCAAGAGCCTGCGACGCATTGCAGAAGGGAAGGACCCTGTAGACTGGCACATCCACACTTGTGGCATGGCCAACATGTTCGCCTACCACAGCTTGGGCTACCCAGATCTGGACGAGCTGCAGAAGGAGCCCCAGCCCCTGATATTTGTCTTGGAGCTGGTCAAGGTGAGATGCACACCCCCAGCTCAACTTTATAGGACACTAATACATATTACCAGCACCTAAACTTTAATATAGTGCCTTACACTGGATATAAAACATACACTTTCTGTAGAGGAGTGAAATAGATCAGATAAAGTATAACAGTTTTCTATGCTGTCAAAATAAGGGATTTAGATGGGAAATCTACAAGGATTCAAGTCATAGCCATGATTACAAAATCTGGATTATCATAGTATACATTCTGGCAGCTCTTCTGATGTGTCTCATTAATTTGGCTCTGAGAACAAGAGACATTTCTTTACCCAGGGGGTTGTGGGATTGTGGATCAAGCTAAAGTACCCAGCAATATTGCTGAAGTTGATATCCTGGGTTCCTTCCAGAAACAGCTGGATGAGATCATTGGATCAATAAGCTAATAACAAAATCAGTCAGATGGTCCAAATAAGATTCTCTCGTTTGTAACCCTTCTTATGTTCTTATGATTTGATTCTCTACCTGAGGCTTTGGGACTTATACGATAGTAGCTGTTTGGTCAGTGCTCCATCACATTACCAACCCGCCCCACCATTCTACTTTCCCCATGTTGGTATTCCAGGTGGAGCAGCCCAGTGAGTACAACAGAGAGTCCTGGGCTCTGAATGACGAGGAGAGGCTGAAGGCGGTACCCCTTCTCCATGGACAGGGGAACAAGCTCTTCAAACAGGGACGATATGAGGACGCAACCAACAAGTACAAAGAAGCTATCATCTGCCTCAGAAATATACAGACCAAGGTAAAATGCCATGGACATCAGTGTAGTGCACATAAATAGGCGCTTTCCAGCTTATCATTGTATATGCAGATTTGTCCTCAGTTGACATACTGTAAATGGGGCAGCAGTGTGGAGCAGATGTTCTTCACTCATAACTGGGTTTGGGTTCAAATCCTAACATGTGGAACTAATGTTGTACCTGTGAGCCAGGTACCAGTAAAACACTTGGTTATATAAGTGGGTGCAAATGTAAGTAGCTTTGTGTTGACCGTCAATGTCTTTTTGAGCAGGGAGAATGTGAACTTTCTGCACATCGTGCTGACGAGATCAGTCTCATGGGTGTCTGCTTCTGTGAGAGCGCAGAGAGATCGTGTTTCATCATAGAGAGATGAGGACGTGTCAGTGAGAGCTCAGTAATGCTACAGCAACACTCTCCAGAGCAACGTTCATTGCTTTATCTTTTTGTATTGAGTATGACAAGTCTTCCAGGACTTTGTGGATTAGGAAATCAAAGACATCAATGAGGCATTTTTTGGAAAGGTGGGACTACTGTGGACGCCTAACAATTTTCAGTCTCTTTCTCTGAAAGCCTATTTAGGGATACAGGCTAATAATTCTTATTGCTTCTATAGTGCCCTTAATTATGAACATCTCCATTTTGATTAATGAAGTAGTTCACCTAGGATGGCAAAATTCAGCTTTTGGTGCATTGGCAGTTTACCTCAAGAAATATTGAGTTTCCTCCAGATGGGCGGATGATGTAGGGAGTGGCTCCATGCTTCCACAGGAGAAAGGTTGGGAGGCACCCTGGCTGAAGCTGGAAAAGATGGCCAACACACTCATTCTCAACTACTGCCAGTGCCTGCTCCGCATGGAGGAGTACTATGAGGTGCTGGAGCACACGACTGACATCATCAACCATCACCCGGGTGAGGCCAGCTCCACACCAGGGCAGGATGCGCATAACCAGCTCCACAGCTGATGGTTTTTCCATTGACTTTATGGAAACAGGAACATGTTTCTGCTACTTTAACAGCCAATGGAAACATACAGTACAATCAGTGATTTAAAACCTGGACTGTGTTATATACTGTACTCTTCGTCTTCAGTAAATATTATAGTTACAGATACTTGCTAAGTGACAGAGAACGTGCAAGGAATTTGCTCATGTCGCAGATAATCATTCAGATCACAACCTCCTCCACATCCAAACAATACATTAAACTACAAACAGGTTTATTGCACGATTTCATAGACTCAATTTAATAAGCTCTGTCACGGCAGAATCGGCATGACTGCAGGATAAAGAAATTCATTATTACGCAGGGCACTGACAGCGTCTCTCTCCCTGACAGGGGTGAAGAAAGCCTACTACATCCGGGCTAAGGCACACGTGGAGGTGTGGAACGAGCAGGAGGCCAAGGCTGACTTCCAGAAGGTCCTGGATCTAGACCCCAGCATGGCGAAGACAGTGAGGAAGGAGCTGATGATCCTGCACATGCGGATGGAGGAGAAGAGGGAGGAGGACAGACTCAAGTACAAAGGCATGTTCTGAACCACAGCAACGAAGCTGCACGGCCCTTTCAAGGCATCAGGCTGGCTCCAGGGCCCGCTTCTGCCTAATGTAAATGATCGAAAAGGAACGCCGCCTTTTACACAAACACTGTCGACCACTTTGGCTTCACTGATCTTCTGACTGTTCATAACAGTGTCAGATGTTTTACCAGATGACGACAGTATTAAAATAGATCCTGAATAAGGGCATGCACAAAGAAAATAAATCCATACAGTAAAAAAAAAAAACATTGCGTATTTTTTCTCATCTCTTGGAATATCAGATATGTGCAAGATTCTGTGTTTAGCTCATACAGTAAATGTGTTCTTTCTGTTGGTCCAAGTCAGTGCCACATCAGTTACAACCATCAGTACAGACATCGCCATATACTGTACACATTTCCAGGCACCTGTGCTTCAGCCTGTTCCAAGGGACTTTCCTCTGCTCTGCTGGGACATTATTGTTCCTCTAGATTGGTTCTTTTTGGAGCCAACAATCATCTTCAATAACGTTCCATGAATTCAGTAATAAAGCAAAAATAATTCTTATAATTCAGTTAATAGCTAAGACATGTTGCAGTTCTTCAGAGATCAATAGGGCCACCAGGGTATGAGCTTCACACTGCTCTTGCCCAGCAGTGTGGTGCAGTGGCTAGAGTTGGGGCCATACCTGGGAGGTTATGGGTTCAAATCCCAAGTGAGACACAGCTGTTTTATCCTTGAGCAAGGTACCTCACCTGAATTACTCTAACAAAATACCCAGCTATATACAGTAAATGGGTTAAAATGTTAGATAAAAATGTTAGTCAAGTTGAGTAATATTAATAACTAGACCAACACAATAAAACAGTATTTATTGACAGTGTCATTTCAATCTAAGCTCTTGTTCAGAGAGAAATAAGGCTGTTCTGTTCACTGAATTCCTCTACAAAAAAACTGCATCGGATTATTTCTGAAACCAAAATACGAGTGCATAAAGGAGTCTAATAAAGGTGCAATAAAGTTGATCGTGGAAATTACTTACTGTCAGCAAAGGAAGAGCTCAGCTGGAAGAACAGAAAACTCACAAGCTGAGAATTGGAACCTTGCCATGGCTGCAGATTAATTATAATGAATTAACAGATTAAATGTAGACATTTTCTGATACGATAGTCTTGCTGTGAACTAGCTTTTGAAAAATGCAACAGAAATACCCGCACCTTCCCTGTAATGCAGAAGGGCATTCTGTGTACAAATTGTGTATTTCTCAAAGAAAAGGGGCTTTCACTTGAAGTGTGTCTGATCTTAATACTTTTTTATGGAACTTAATCTGACCCCAGCTGCGGGGGTTTAACGCTGAATTTCCTGAGAGTGAAAATGGCACAGATCCAGGGAGCAGAAGGCAGGAGTCCAGTTCTTAATGGACCAGGAAGTCAGTCATACAGATGAGAGGACAGATCAGCACATCAAATGCCTTGACCCTGTTTCTCTGCTGTGCACTGAACCTGGGCAAGCATTAACTGTGCCACTGCGGTCCTGCGGTTTGTTGTACAGTACTTTTAAAAAAACCTGCAGATTTCCTAACTGCCTTTCAGGCTGTACCTTAGAGGGAACACCGTACAAGCAGACCCAGATGAAATCTTTGGTGATGTCCGCTTTCCCAACACAAGCAAATACAAAGAACCAAAATCAGATTAGAAAGAAGGAAGGAAAAAAATACTTGATCCTGACTATTACAGTTAATCTGTCCATCACAGAGTACCAGTTTAATCACTTGGACAAATATCCACGTGTACTGACAAGCTGCTTTGCTTACTGTAAAAATTCGGACTCAAAGCGGGGTCTTTAGTTACTATGGATTTTTGCTGGCCTATCAGTTTAGATCTTGTGGCCAAAATAAGATCAGATAGTGGAATGTGAAAATGTGCCGAACCTGACTCAAGTATTCTAAATCATCAAAGGCTCATAAATATCTTCCAATGAGCAGTAAAACACAAACCAGAAAGCACAAGTGGAAACTGTGTGGCAGTGTGTTTAAAACCAAGAACAGGAAACACTTACCCAAAGGGTTGTAGGAGTATGGAACAAACTACCCTATTGTTGAAGATGATATTCTGGGTTCCTTCAAGAAACTGCTGGATTAGAGAATAGGATCAATGAGCCTATAACTACAAAACAAGTCAGGTCATAGGTCCTCTCATTTGTAACATTACATTTGTTCGTACAGACTAAAAAAAAAACACTTTATGTGTTGTAATCAAGGATTAAATGATCATCTAAAACTAGTGATTGTATAGATTTGCTTTGTGTATTTAACAACTCAAATACAGCCATATAGCTTCTGGTGGTTATAAAGCTTTTTGGGCTGCACTTCTGAAACGGTTGCATCAGAGATAAAAACGCCACAGAGCGTTTTGAATCGTGAAAATCGTGAATTGACTCAAACAGTTGATAAAAAGAGCAGGTGGAACACCTGGTCGTCTCTGAAATCAATCTATTGTTTGCATTAATTTGATTGTTGTTTTAAGAAAACGGACAGGCCCTACGCAAATACTCTCCATCAGAAACTACGTTTGACAATTGTGTGGAGACGAGAGCATCTTTCCAGTGCTGTTTGTCTCTTTGTGCGCCTGCCTCTCTCGTTTGTGGACACAACACGGACGAATAAACAAAGCCGGTTAGCCTATTCGAATCACTCAGTGAGCTCGACAGTGAAGGAGAAACTCCCAGGCTACAGGCACAGTGGTACTGAAGCATCATCCTCCAGAGAGCACCGGCAGCGAGCACGCAGCTGAGGAATCCGCCCAGACCGCGGTCTTCGCCAGCTCCACAGCGCACAGAGCTGGTGCTGAGCCCGGACGACGCACCGGCGACTGGTTCTGCTGCTGGCTCGCCTCTTTGCTTCCTGTGTCCCACCGTGCTGCAGCGTTAATTACTATTACAGCAGGCTACAGTATTGCTGGGACACCGCGCACAAAAACTTGACATTATTTTGCCACGGAGCTGCGACTTGTACAACGAAGCTTTTGAGATATACCGAATATATATCTTTTACATTAGGTTTTTTTTAAAAGTGATTTCTCTTTTGAGAATAATAATTGATAAAAGAAGACGTGTTTTAGAGACACAAACGGATTGATGCATTCGGGGCTGTTTTAGGAGGAGAGAGCGCACACATTATAATAGGGCGAGATTGGCTTTTCTGTCGCTTCGGATTGAATGAAACTGCAAGTAAAAGATAAATTCAGCGTATTCGAAAACGGATGTTTTTTCACTGCCTTTAAGCAAAAGCTTCTCTTGGTATTTTCTTTTTTTTTTCTTAATACGAATCCATTTGATTCCAATCCCATATTTTGTAGTGGCACCTGCATTTCCGTGGCTTTTGCGCTGTCTGGCAAAAAAGAGACTTCATCCGACAATTCCCAAATTATTTTCAACAAGTTATATTTTCCCCTTTTACTATTTTTTTTTCTTTTAAAAGCTTTTAAGAAATACGAATGCTACAATAGGACATACCAGAATCTGGCTGAAGTATGGGACCTTAGCAGCTATTTTGGAAAAAGGACGTTTCGTTTTACCCCCCAAAAACCCAACCAACACAACAAAATACGCATTTTATAGCAAGTGCATTTCTTTGTTTGTTTGGGAGAATGGCGATCAACACAGACGCCCAGTTTGAGAAAACTATGTTGAACGAAAGCGGGACGGCTCTACCCAGCGACTCTCAGGAAACGGAGAAACTCCTCAGTACTGCCGCCACCGCGGAACCCGCAGAGGAGAACGGTGTCAAGCTCTCCCACTCCTTCACCGTCAACATCGCCGGCGACAAGCCGCAAGATGCGGTCCAAAACGGGCACAGCGCGCCGCTGAGGTCTGGGTCCGCAGGACAGATTGGAGGCGCTCCGCTCTCCCCGTCTCGAATCAGCTTAAGCCGCGCGTCCTCCACGGGGAACACCGCTCAAGACCAGTCCAAGCCACGGGACTACCTCTTTTTGGCTATTCTGTCCTGCTTCTGCCTGGCGTGTCCCGTCAACCTCATCGCCCTCGTGTACTCAATCATGGTAAGTGCCCGTGTCCTTGCTGCGCGATCAAGATGTAAGTAACGTAACCCCCTTCCCCATGTGTTTGTAAAATTGTGCTTTTTTTCCCCACGTTTTTTTTTTCCTCCAAGAGAGGAAGGAGGTATTTGTTGGTGTAGGTTCAAAACGCTTTTGGTCGTTAATTAAACGAATAAGCATTTAACACGTACACTTTTTTTCCTATCTCCTCTTTTCTCATTTTGGGAGGTACTGTAATTCCTCAATTGACGGAAAAAGAGAAAGTATTATTTAAACAACGGTCTGTAACACACAACACAAAGTTAACGAGGTGCGTGCAAGGGACATTCAGTACCATCCCCACCCAAAACTAGCCCATACTGTACATTGATGTTGCGCATACATCTGATGCGCGTAAAAAGAATTTCACACAGCTGGTGTCGGGACTTGTAATGCGCGGACAATAACCCGAATGTGTGAAAAGTCAAATGTTTAATTCGTAGAAGCTCGGAATTGAACAAATTAATATGAAATATAATAAACATATTCGTTAAAGAAAAGCTGTCTCCAGTGAATTCCCTTTGTGTCTAAAGCAAACTACTGTAGGTGCCCCGGGTCCTCTTGCAATAAGGTCTTGATGCTGCGCTATTAATCAGAACCGAAGCTCACCAGAACATTACCGTTCTTTGTTTCTACCAGCAGTGGGTATATATATATCACGGTTTATCTGCAAGATTGTGTTTTTATCCTTACCTATCGACCAGGGCTCAATATACAGTACTGTAAGCTTATGAAAACATATCTCCCTTTATACATGGGCATGCTACTATCGCAGCAACTAGTGCGAACTCCATTCTATTAGCATGTAAATAATTTGAATACGTTTTGACTAAAATGTCACTGTTGACTAAATGCTTTGACTAAAATCTGACAACAACAACAACAACAACAAAAAAAAGATTTACCATCTCCGACCACATTACAGATTGAATACAATGGCAGCGAGGCGATTCTACCGCGAAAGCGCGCTTCTGGGTGCTGTCTGTGCAGGGCGTGGTGACTACACTCCATCAGTTTCTGAGAACGGAGCTGCGATTGTGTGATCGGTGCTCTGGGAGAATGATGCAGTTGAGAATGAAGCGCAAATCACACAAACCGAACGTGTGTTTTAAACCATTTTAACTTGCCGATTTCTACAATAGGAAGCAAGTTCTCTTCGAATTTTGAAAATCCCCAGAGAAGGAATGACTGTATTTCTCTGACTGATAGACTGTCCTGCACAAATAAACCACTCTATTGTATGTATTTAATAGCCTGTGTGCAGAGTCCACAGGTTTTGAACATACAGACCTCAGAGTATATAGGTTGTTGAAGGGTTATATCACGTCAAACTTTTTAGACTGCTTGCTCAAAGACTGTTGACGGACATTAGCCAAGTGTCTGTCAGTTTGCACAAGGTAGCTGCGAAAAAAATACTTTCACGTAGAATGACTATCAGAGACATTTATTGTCCTACAGTAAAAATGTAAAATTACAAAGTTGCATAAGCCATTTAAATACATCACAAGCAGAGAGGATGTCAGATAGATAACAGTGCCAAAGTGTTAATTAATATATTGACACTGCTATTGCTTTGTTATGACAGATGGCTGCCTCGATCTGTATATTCCTATAGGGACGGAGGCTGTGAGAGCCAAATGTTAACCTCGTACTCTTCATGTGTTTTGATTTCTTAAGTATTAAATCTAAACTGGCAGGTATGTGAATTGACTGGGTTCTCCGAGGGGTCTCGGACTGGGCTGGAGGGATTCGGACTTGAGCTGTGAGATGGCTGTGCCCAGGTTGGGGGGGGGGGGGTGTTTGCGCCTTCCAGGGTTTGTACAGCTGTATAGCAGCGATCTCTGTGGCTTGGTGCCCGTGTGAGAACTCGCAGAGGTGCCTGAGGTGATGCCAGCTGGGCTGTGGTCACTCTTGACACTTGCAGGCCGAAAGATGACATAGACCCCTGAAAGACGCACGTTTTGAAGGAAAGTGTGGACAATCCTCATTACTCCTGCTTGGCTCAGAGGGTCATTGAGGCAAAATGTGGTGGATCGATCATAGCGTTAGCATTTCCAAACTGGGGCAGATGAATTGGCCACTCAGCTCTGTCTGAAAAAGGAGGTTCCCTATCCTGTCCACCCGTTATCAGAAAGCCACACATCTTGGTGAGGCTTGCAACAGGCTGGAGCTGCTGTTGGAAGCACGAGGGTACAAACCAGAGCTGAGAGCATGTGACTGCATCCCTCCCAGACATTACTGCACAGGGCTCGAGTCAGCACAGCCAATCAAACCTTGCATGCACTGTATACCTTAGGTGGGCAGCTAGACCACCTAGTAAAACCCCCCACACCAACAGCAGCAGCATCAGCAGACACAAATATCCGAGGCCAGACCTGAACTCCAGAAACTGGAGCTGTGAGGCTGCATTGCCCATCAGCCAAACCAATGAAACCAATGTACTGTGCAGGTCTGTAATCCATTATACACTTTAATCTGTTCATGTCTCATATTTACCTTTCCCAAGAGGCTCTTTTGAACCCTACATAGAAGTACGTGGTGAGCAGAGAAAAGGGTGGAGATTCTAATCTGCTAGTGCTACAAAGACCCAAAGGTTTTTTTTTTATATTTACTCAATAATATACTATGCAGTAACCAGGAATGACCTGAAATAACAAGGCATGCCTAGAAGGAGAATTTAGTAGAAGTCTCCCCACAGTTTTGACAATCCCTTTATCCCAGAATAGTTCTCTCTTTGCCCTGACTGACACTCTGGAGAGCTTTGAAGAACTTAAGCGGTAAGGTAGAGAGACGAGGCTGAATCTTCAGGCAGAGCGTCTCGGGGGGTGATCAGAAAGCTCAGCCACATTGAAGTACGGCCCACCCAGAGAGCTTGAACCCTTGAGCTTTTTTTTAAAAAGGAGGAGTATTCAGCCTGACTGCTTAAAAAAGAGCTGGTCTCCCTTCAGAGCAGTGACAGCGCAGAGGTGGCACAGATTTCTGATTCCTTGCCACAAGGTTAAAGGTGCTTACCCAGATAACCCAGAAGAAGACGATCACAATGAGCTGATTATGGATTGTTTGAATTTAACATTGAACTTTTTTTTCATCCAGAGTGCCATAACTAAAGCTGGGATATTTCTATAGACACTTAGCTACAGAAACTACAGTATAGATCACCATAGTCTGTAGTAACACTATTAGAATACTTGATGGAGGTTGTACTTAAATGACGGCATTTTATTATGAAAACAAGTTATTAGTTCATTTACTCAATGAAGGCTCCTTTAAAATTATTTGTGTATGAATAATGTTACCAAGATTTACCAGTGTTATTGTAACCTAGAGTGTTGGTTTGAGATCAGTGGAATAACTCTCACAGCTTCTTAGTGAATGGCAAGTCAGCACTCGTCAGAAATACTAAGAATTATTGACTATGGGATCATCATTTCTGCCTAATTTCCCATCCAGATTTGGCAACAGATGAAGGAGTATTACAGTACTTTCATTTTTGAGAAGTGAGAGTTTATTTTCTAGCATGGCTTAAAAAACAAAGAAAAAGGAGATTTTCTTCCACACTACTGAAATATTTGGTATATGTTTGGCTTTATCCTATAAAATTTTATTTCCTAATGTAACTTTAAGCAATAGCAATGACACATAGACTTATGACAAGATTGCAAACACGATTATCCTACACAATTGTAGTGTCTGCTGTCCTTTAAGATGGAATGCCTTTGCAGTGAGTGTTCCCATGAAAAGCGAGGAATAATTTACTGTATGGATTGTGAGGCACTAAAGCTAGACACTGGTATGTTATATGCTGATAGACATAAAAACACAAAGAAGCATAAAGCAACCTTAAAATGCCATGCAGAAATCAGTGAAAGCAAGAGAGACAGAAAGCAGAGTCTTGCTTTTTGAAACGTTGAACTGATATGTCACCTCACTCTGCCTTGTTTCGGACTTCAGGGTGTTTCACATATGCAGAGACAACACGTCGCTCATTTGCTGTGGTTTAAAATTTTAAACCCTTTTTATGCTTCAGCTATGCACTACATCAAGGATTACATTTCCAGCGGCTTTATTTAACTGTGGCTCATTAAGGAATATTCCTGCCTCTCCTCCGATAATGGTGGTCATTATGGTGCTCACTGTCATCAACGCCAAAGACTTTTTGGTCGTCCAGATTATACCGTCGTCTTGCAAAATAGGTCTCACAGACCAATCGACTACCACCTAGGTCAGATATAGAAGATTAACAATCTGGAACCAGAATGAGATTAAGTCAAAAAAGAAGCTCTTCATTCTGCCTCACTGCAAGCAGTTTGCCTTAACTTACTCTGTTAAACACTGATGCCAGTTGCCTGCTCAGCCAGCCATAGTTGCTTGGCAATCCTTTCCTTTCCTTTGGGGAGACAGATGAGGACTTTACTGCAGGATCTGCCATGGTAAATACACTCTTTCCCCATTACCAGACACTAAGAGGAACCAATTGCATCTGCTAATTCAATATAAGGTGAGAGAAGTCAATTGAGCGTTCCCACAGAAAGCAAATTGCGTGAGTAATGTGAACAGCTCACTAATATGGAGCTTCAGCTTCCAGGGAGGATGAGGATGTACAGCTGAGGGGTATGTGTGGGACTTGGGCGTGGAGATCGCCGAGGGGGGGCATGGGTGGCAGTTGGTTCAAGATCTCCGGATTTCTACCTCATGGAATTGCTGCTGCTGGGATGACATGATCAGGTGCTGCCAAACCAACCGAAAGTACATTGTGATTAACAGAAATCAAAGAAAGAAACGTGCTGGGACTTTAAGACAAATGCACAAGTATGTTACACAATATACGCAGAGGGACTCAATTACTGGGAGAGGGAAATGGGATGCGATTTCCTTCTTATTGCGCAGAGCACTTTCTCTGCGTAATGGTAAAGCATAACTGTGTCTGGCCTGTAACTGCTCACTCTGCAGATTCCGGAGTGAAT